ATGACTCACCATCTGACCTCCAGGATGGATCCTCACCATCTGACCTCCAGGATGGATCCTCACCATCTGACCTCCAGGATCTTGCTAAGCAGTTAGCAACTTAGTGCTAGCAGGTTCCCAATGGGAAATCCCATTGGTACCAAGTAGCATGAAATTGCTAACCAGTTAGCATCTTAGTGCTAGCAGGTTCCCAATGGGAAATCCCATTGGTACCAAGTAGCACTAAATTGCTAACCAGTTAGCATCTTAGTGCTAGCAGGTTTCCAATGGGAAATCCCATTGGGACCAAGTAGCACTAAATTGCTAACCAGTTAGCATCTTCGTGCTAGCAGGTTCCCAATGGGAAATCCCATTGGGACCAAGTAGCTTTAAATTGCTAACCAGTTAGCATCTTAGTGCTAGCAGGTTCCCAATGGGAAATCCCATTGGGACCAAGTAGCACTAAATTGCTAACCAGTTAGCATCTTAGTGCTAGCAGGTTCCCAATGGGAAATCCCATTGGTACCAAGTAGCACTAAATTGCTAACCAGTTAGCATCTTAGTGCTAGCAGGTTCCCAATGGGAAATCCCATTGGGACCAAGTAGCACTAAATTGCTAACCAGTTAGCATCTTCGTGCTAGCAGGTTCCCATTGGGACCAAGTAGCACTAAATTGCTAACCAGTTAGCATCTTAGTGCTAGCAGGTTCCCAATGGGAAATCCCATTGGGACCAAGTAGCACTAAATTGCTAACCAGTTAGCATCTTAGTGCTAGCAGGTTCCCAATGGGAAATCCCATTGGTACCAAGTAGCACTAAATTGCTAACCAGTTAGCATCTTAGTGCTAGCAGGTTCCCAATGGGAAATCCCATTGGTACCAAGTAGCACTAAATTGCTAACCAGTTAGCATCTTAGTGCTAGCAGGTTCCCAATGGGAAATCCCATTGGGACCAAGTAGCACTAAATTGCTAACCAGTTAGCATCTTAGTGCTAGCAGGTTCCCAATGGGAAATCCCATTGGGACCAAGTAGCACTAAATTGCTAACCAGTTAGCATCTTAGTGCTAGCAGGTTCCCAATGGGAAATTCCATTGGGACCAAGTAGCACTAAATTGGTGACTTAGAAACTCAATGGGAAAGGAAGGGATTCTGGTTTCAACCGTTGCGTATATTAGCTGCGACACATGAATCAAGATGCTATGACCGAAAACATTTGATTGACAGATGACCGTTGATCTATGATTGGATGAATTTAGGTGTTCAGGCTGACGTAGAACTAACTGGCCTGCAGAAGATAACGGAAAGAAAACACAGATTTTAAGACAGGATTTTTTTTTATTGAAATTTTCTAACTTTTAGGATGATATGGTCTGATAAAGAGAACATTTATATACATGTTTAACCCAGATGGATTTAACATTTAAATATGACTTCCCTAAAACTTTAAATCAATAATAATCATTCATGATTAAATGTTTATCCTGGAGCAAATGTCACATCATGAGGTGAGGGAGGAGCAGGGAACGCTCTCACCGCGCGCCGCTTCACCGCGTGTCGCTTCACCGCCATTCACCGAGCGGTTTAGGTTTGGTTGCATTGATGAAATGATAGAAACAGGATAAAGGAACCTTTCTATGGTGGACGTGTTTCTGTTGGGAGGAGCTGATGGAGGAACCAAGCAGGAAGTGACATCATCAGAGCAGAGCTCTCTAACCCTGAAATCCTCCGTTACCAACACTCCTTGGTGGGATTTAGATTTTTAGGATTTGGGGAAAAAATTATGATAATTTATGCAGGTGAAGGTTCTCAGTCATCCAGGTCAGAGTCGTTCCTAAAAAGTTAAATCAATCCTCTGGACTTTGTTTCCAGATTTGAAGACGTTTCTCTTCCATCCAGGAAGATTTTTCAATCCAAAATGGCAGAAATAGCGTTTAGTTCCAGGTGTTAATTTATCCAGAAGTTCTTCAATCACACCTTTTCTCTCCTCCCAGCTAATGATGGGCTGCAGATGTGAAATGTTTTTCCTAATGACTCTATTCATTATGTGACAACTTCTCCTTCCAAAGCAAACATGCAGGCGATCCTTCCTCATTGGTAATGAAAGCAAATGATTCGCTCCGTTCTTCTCTGGATCCTCTGTTCCCATCAGCTGTCTTCCTTTCTTCCCTTTGGGATCCATGGAGACGCACCTGCAGCTTTGTTAGCCTGGCGCCGCGCCGCGCTGGCACCTGCTGCAGGATGTGACCTCTGATCTCTACGGCTGGGACGAATCTTCATTGAAAAAAAGTTTAGATTTATTTATTATACACATTTTTACAGCATTGGAAAACATAATGAATGTTTGTCTGACCTCCTGCACACCATATAAAATAAACAAAACAAAAAAATGATTTTCATAAAGCAAGGGGGCGCTAAAGAGCAGCATCCGGAGCAGCCAATCACAGCGCAGCTTGTAAATGTCCCTCTCAGGCTGCTGCAGCTTTTCCTTCCACTCAGTTTTCCATGAGAAGTTTCGGCTGCAGAGCTTCTGAGACTGAAGGAACTGAAACCATTTCCCTGTTTTTGGGTAAATTCTCACAGAGATGCTGTGAATCAGAACCCAGAGATTAAGACACATTTCTGTCTTTTCTCAGATCAAATGTTTCTCTCACTTTTGGAAAAATAGTTTGAATATTTGAGCCGAAAAAAGGCAAAGAAAGCAGCAGGAGGAGGAGGTGAGCGGGGATTCCTGCAGACAGAGAGAGCCTCCTCCTCGGCCACTGCCTCCCCTCCCCTCCCTCTGCCCTGGTGCGCGTTGGGGGATCCAACGACGTCACACACACGCACTCCGCCCCCCCTCCCCGCACACACACAGAGCGCGCGCTCCCGCTCAGCAGCTCCGCGTCTCTCCTCCTCTCTGCTGCTATTCTGGGAAGTGGCGCTCGGAATAACCCCGGTGAGCAGGAGGAGTGTGTGTCTGCTGATTGCACCCTGACACACACACACACACACTGACGCGCGCGGCTCCAGGCTCCAGCAGCAGCAGTCAGTCAGTCAGTCAGTCAGTCAGTCAGTCAGTCAGTCAGTGTCTGCAGGAGGAGCTCTCTGCTCTCAGACCTTCAGGACGGATTTCGGACATTTTTGTTTGTTTGTTGCTTTTACGCGCAGCTCCCCCCCCCCTACACCCCCACCCGTGGATCTGTAGCAGCCGCCTCCTGCTGTGGGAGAAGCAGGCAGAGCAGAGCAGGCAGAGCAGAGCAGGGCTGGTTCCGGGATCATCTGACAGGCTGAAGGTAAGAAACCAAACCGACCCTGGAGGGTTTATTTCACACAACACGCAGCCTGAGTGGATTTTCCACGCGATACCAGGCGCCCCGCTCCTGTTTGGGAGCAGGTTGGTGTGGAAGGGACGCGCCATGCAGGGGGAATACCCCGGACACGCATTTCTTGCATGCAGATAACCCGGGTTGCGTAATATCCTGAGGAATTCACAGCAGCGGCCGGCCAGGCTGCAAAGGCCGGGCTGTGTGTGAGAGAGTGTGTGTGTGTGTGTGTGTGGGGGGGGGTCATGTCGGTGAGGGTCGAGCTCAGCAAAGTGAAAGCTCTCCAAGGTGTGATTTCAGTTCTGCCACCGAAGTTAGTGTCCGATTTGTAGCTTGTCTTGTTTAAAGAACCATTCCGGATCCCTGCTGCCCTCAGATCCCAGCAGGATCCCAGCAGGATCCCAGCAGGATCCCAGCAGGATCCCAGCAGGATCCCAGCAGGATCCCAGCAGGATCCCAGCAGGATCCCAGCAGGATCCCAGCCGATCAGGCGGCCGGATCCCATCCATCGATGTCCTGCAGCCTTTAGCGGTTCCTCTGCTACCGACTCTACCATGATCTCATTAGCAGCAGAGGTTTAGACTGAGGAACACATCTAAACTCTGCAGGACCTGCAGACCCCGTCACAGGGTGGCCCTCAAGGGCCGGTCTATAGACTGCTGCTTTCATCACAGCATTAATAATCAGATGTTTGGAGGATCCAGTCAGAGGCCGATTCAGGAAATGTGGGTCCCTAGGCAGAGACAGGCAGGGGCCCCTCTGAACTGAGAAGACTACACATAGAACAGCCCCATTCTCCAGATGTAGAAATGTTAATAGAATAGACATCCATTATCTGTTCTAGGTTGTGTCCCTCTCTTCTTGTCCCTTTTCTTCTTGTTTTCCTCTCTATGTTTTGTACTCAGCTGACTTTTCATGCTGTCTCTAAAGGAATGAAAGATTTTTTCCAAGCACTAAGCTCACTTAGCTGATTGCTCCTTCCTGTGTTTCCAAAAAGGCCAAAGTAAATAACCCAGTCCTTCTTTTCACTGTAGACAAGCCATGATCTGCTTCTCTGTTCTCCATTTTTCATTTGGATGAAATAATAGCTGCATGAATCATGTCAGCAGACAAGATAGAGGAGAGCAGGAGGCGGGGTTACCAATCTACTCGCTCTGGAGAGCAGAGTTCAGTGCTTTTAGATGTTGTCTCCAAAGTCTCCAGTAGCAGAAAAAAGTCTCTAGATTTGGCGCTAGGAGCTTTTTAGAAATCAAAGTGCTAGAGGGGTCTGAAAAGTGGCTAAATATAGCGACTAAAGCGCTAAGTTAGCAACACTGCTCTTTGCATGGTTTGTTTTCAAATGGTTTGCTGCTGTCTGTTTGGACCTTTCTGAACATGTGCAGCAAATGGACTGATCCAATATGGTGGACACTGAAGGGGGGGGCTGAGACACACTTAATATTATCGGCGTTCTGATGGCATTTTAGCCAAAGGATTTTTATCAAAAACATAATTAATGAGCAGAAATAAGGAATAATCGAATAAATAAAAGCAGAATCACAGCAGATCAATCAGCGAATCACTTCCTCGTTTATAAGATTCTAATTAAGGAATAAATATAAGCAGGTCTGAGTTTGAGGTGATTTAAATGTCTGCTGCTTCGCTTTCAGAATAAAAGTCCACCTCAGGAATCGAACCCAGAACCGAGGATCGATTCTCTGCTTCGTCTTTAAGTCAAAAAGCTGTTTTTTTTTGTTGCGCCTCCAAAATGAGACCCAGATTATTGGAGGATTTGTTTAAAATGTTTGTCATTGAACTCGGACCTGTTTCTGAGGAGGTTTAAGTCCCAAAACGACACGTTTGTTTCCTGTTTAGCTTGTTTTTATTTCTGCAGTAGCAGAAACCTGCTGGATCCGCTCCGCGGTTCTAGATATTCAGCGTAGAAAAACCCAATCTAGATTGGTGGAAAGAGTCTGAATCAGAGGGTCTGATCCTAGCAGCGTCCGCTCACATGTCCATGTGCCTTTGGGCAAGGCAGGCCCAGCAGAGCGGCGCTGGACCAGAACCGCTCAGTCCGTCTTAGTTTGATGTGAAAACAGGGAGCTGGCCCTTTAAGAGGAAGCTGCGAATCACAGAGCAGCTTCAGCTCCGAGTTTCACTTTGACTGTTTGGGCAGAGATCAGCTCCATGTTTCACATCATTCCTGAGATTCTCCAACAGCTGCTGCTGCTTCCCAGTCTGCTCCCAGTCTGGTCCTACTGGAGGGACTGGGAGCGCTGCCTTCCCTCCCTCTCTGCATGTTGGTGTGTGAGAGGCAGGAGGGATGGTGGGTGGTGTACTGGCTGGTTCCGGGAATGTTCCATGACGTGTTGCCGTGAAGAGAGGGGCCCCGGCTGGGGAGCGCTCGAGCAGCGACAGGCTGGGCCCTGCAGGAGGGAGGAGGGAGGAGGGACGGAGCTCTTCAGGAACAGGGACTGACCCTAGATATCCATAATAAAGGCTAGATGTCTTACGGCGGAGTCTCAAACGTCATCACCGGGCGGCCATCTTACCACAGGCAGGCTTTCTGGTGTGCTCTGTGGTACTTAATGTAAGGTGAGTGATCAGCACGAACATAAATACTCTTATCTCATTGAATTCTTGACGGATTTACAAACAGTTTGATTTATATATATATATATATATATATATATATATATATATTGTGTATATATACATATATATATATATATATTGTGTATATATATATATATATATTGTGTATATATATATATATATATATATTGTGTATATATATATATATATATATATATATATTGTGTATATATATATATATATATATTGTGTAATATATATATATATATATATATATATACATATATATATATATTATATATATATGTATATATATATATATATATATATATATATATATATATACACACAATATATATATATATATATACACAATATATATATATATATATATATATATATTGTGTATATATATATATATATATACACAATATATATATATATATATATATATATATATATATATATATATATATATATATATATATATTGTGTGTATATATATATATATATATATATATATTGTGTATATATATATATATATTGTGTATATATATATATATATATATATATATATATACACAATATATATATATATATATATATATATATATATATATATATATATATACACAATATATATATATATATATATATTGTGTATATATATATATATATATTGTGTATATATATATATTGTGTATATATATATATATATATATATTGTGTGTATATATATATATATATTGTGTGTATATATATATATATATATATATATATTGTGTATATATATATATATATATTGTGTGTATATATATATATATATATATATATATATATATACACAATATATATATATATATATATATATATATATATATATATATATATATATATATATATATATATTGTGTGTATATATATATATTGTGTGTATATATATATATATTGTGAGTATATATATATATATATATTGTGTGTATATATATATATATATATATATATATATATTGTGTGTATATATATATTTCTGGGACCATATATATATGGTTGCCATTCTGTACACTGAGTTTTAATAGCATATATTGATTTAACATAAATACCTTGTGCATGTGTATATTTATTGCACCTGTATGTTCTATTCAGTGTTCTTTTCATATGAAATACCATGGTTATAATTATTCCTAAGTGCGCAGTATCACAGCTACATGTCTGACTTTTTTTTAACAAACCAAACAGTTTGAGAACAGTTAGACAATTGAGGAAGTTATGGTTATTTCAGTACATGCGCCATTGAAACACAATGCTATGAATGAGCGAGCTGCCTGTGGTAAGATGGCCGCCACGTGCGGACGTCGACCCCCATTGGCCAGCAGCGGGGACGAGACATCTAGCCTTTAATATGGATATCTATGGGACTGACTGCGGAGGGAAGCTCAGCGGGGCAAAGGTCAGAGTTCAGACATAAACAGATGGGGGGGGGGTCGATTTCAATAATCTGAATTATTGAAATCGACCTTCAAGTTCTGGAAATCTGAACGAAGGTCCGAGTTTCCGGGTCAGCAGGTTTGTTTCCAGGTCCTCCAGCCTGGAAAACAGGGAATCTCAGTGTTTACCTTTTATCCGAGGATCCCAACATCGGCCGGAAAAAGTTTTCAATCAAATTTGAAAATTTTTTTTAATCAAACTCGAAAAAGTTTCCATCAAACTGGAAGAACTATTCCTTCTCAGAGCATCTTCTCCTCCCGTCGCTCCGTAGCTCCTCTCCTCTCTGCTGATCCGACTCTGGAACATTTTGTCGTCACGGTGGATAAAGTTTTCGCTAAATGCATAAATTTAGACGTCAAACTTGAAAAAGTTTTCATTTGATGGAAGAAAGTTTTGATCAAACTGGAAAAGTTTTAAAGAAGCTGCAGAAATTTATCAACTAAAGAAAAGAAAGTTTTGATCAAACTGGAAAATAAAGCACAGCATTCTTTTTTTTTTTCTGACTCTTATTTATGGTGGGGGGGGGAGCTGAGGCAGAGCGTCTCAGGCGGGGGGGGGGGGGGGGGGGGGGGGGGGGGGGGGGGGGGGGGGGGGGTGGGGTTCTGGGGGGGACGGCCGACCCACGTACCATCTGTCCCGCTGCCACCTCAGATGGCCGTCGGTGTTGTGCGTGGGAGCGAGCATCCAAACAAACACACGGTTGCCATAGAGATGGTTTTCTGCTCTCCGGCGTTTGCAGCAGCAGGATCTCCTTTCAGGCTTTGTTGCCGCCAGCATCCGGACCGGTTCTGGTTTGGAGGAGAAGGAGCTGCTGGGTCGGCGCCGGATCCTCCTTCAGGGGATCCGGCTGATAGCGCCCCCCCCCCTCCAGGCAGAACCAGCAGGTTCTCCTGCAGGTTCTGTTAGACCCGTCTGGGTGTGTTTGGGTCGCCGTCCTACTGGGACTTTTATGACGGGAAGGTGGAGCTCCTCACTACTGAACACGGTTTAAGCATCAGTGTCTCTGGCAGCAGAGATCAGCCCCTCAGCATGCTGCTGCCACCACCCTGCTTCAGAGCTGCTGCAGCCTTTAAGCTAAACACTTTAATCTTGATCAGGTTTAACAGCTTCTGGTCTGGTTTTCTTTGATGGTTCTTCTCCTGTGAGGATCTGCAGTCTGCTCACCTTCTCCCAGGATCAGGATTTGTCCAAAGGGACCTAAAGCTTCCATAGGTGCTGCTCGCTAAGCCGCCGCCCTGCTTCACGTCTGACCCCTCCTCATGAGCAGAGGCTCCTCCCACCTCGCTGGCAGCTGCTTGGCTGAACATCTGCTGTCCAGGATCTCTGCACATCACAGCTGCAGACGCGCTGCATGGCGTGCTGCACCGCCGGGCTTCAGCGCCACCTGCAGGTGTGTTTGGGAGGCGATCCTGAAGCACTTCCTGCAGAACCAACAGCTTAGAGATGGAGATGTTCCCTCCTGCTGCATCACGCTGGGGTCATGACCTCTGCTCCTATAATTTATCACCTCCTCCTGTTTCACCTTTGATTGACAGTTTTATCTGTTAATCATCTCCTTCAAATGGGGAGGAGTCCTACATGGACGCCATCTTTGTTATCGTCTTGTTTTCGCTAAAGATTCATCGAGTGGAAAACAGGGAAACAGCAAAACATGAAATCCTGGAAAATAATCAAAGCAAGAAATAAAAAGATCAAAATCAAATCTCATGTATAAAGTTTGGAATTTATATCTTTATTTAACGTCACAGAATCCGAGAAGCAGAGAAGGAATATTGGAAGAGAAGGAGACTCAGGATCCGAGCAGGAAAAGGGAATAAAAAGGAGCTCCTGCTCCCAACATGGCCGCCTGGACCCCGCCTGTTCTCATGCGCCCGTCTCAGACTCCTCCAGTCGAACCCGTGTCCGTGTGCCGACACCAGATCCCGTCACCGAGAGCCCACCAGTTAGGGGGGGTGAAGGAAAGGAGAGGAGGAGATAAAAGCGAGGAAAGGAGCCGTGAGGTCAAAGGAGGTCAGCTCCCATGGCGATGCAGACGGAGACGTTTTTCCAGGAATCTGTCCTGCATCAGAGAGCGGAGCTGAATCCTGAACGACCGGAGCCGCCGTCGCTTTTCCTCCCAGGTTTCCCGCTCCAGCTCAGCTTGGATGACATCATCGATGTTCGCTCAGATCCAGATCCGCTCCACTAAAGCATCCAGTTAAAGGAAAAGTTCAGTCACATTCAGAATTCTTCTGAAAGTTCTTTAAATCTGAAAGTATTCCATCCTGTTCAATAAATGATCAGTGTTTTTAATTCAGAGTCATTTCCATGTGAATGTGCTTTACTGGAGGCATCCATGTTTGTCAAAGAACACTACTGCTGCCCCCCGAGGGGAGGGGTTACATGCAGAGTGGGAATTTTGTTGCTCTGAACTGGTGACGGAATGAGAATAAAACCTGGAAAAAAGAGAAGTAGGAAAGATTTTAGGCGTCTGAAAATGTAACTTTTAAAACATAAAATGTTTCACAGGGTTTCAGCTCTCTAACTTAAAGGAGACGTGGGATTGAGCGACAGCAGAAACACCAGAGACTCCAGTACAGATCCCTGAGATCCGCCGGACCTGGAGCCAGCTGCTGAACACATTCTGCCGGCAGGTTTCTACGTTTGAAGTTAATTTAGGCGTTAATAAACTGTTTCAGAGGAGTGATCATAGCGCTCTGCATCAGCAGTGCTGCGTCTGACTCCCTGCCAGCTCCCAGATCAGCTTCTCTCATTGGTCGATGCGGCGCGTCCAGCAGCTAAAATGGCAGAAGCTCAAACTCTCACGACGCGCCGCTTCAGCTGGGATGTTCTGCTGCGCCTTGATGCGCTTCAGCCATTGACTCTGCCTGTAAACCAGCTGCTCCTGCTGCTTTAGGTGTGAACGCAGCATCAGAGTTCCAGCAGCGCCGCTTTGAACTGTTTCTACTGAGGAGTGAAAATTACTCTGATAAAGAGTACTGGAGATTTATCTCCTGATGAAGCTAGCTTTAGCTAAAACCGCCGTTAGCAGAGCGGCTAAAGGAGGCGCTGTGATGAAGGCGTTGGTCAGGAGAGGAGCAGCAGATCATGGCGGACGGCGAATCCAAGGGAACTGGAGCCAAAAAGTCCCCCTGATAAGCGGCGGATCCTGATTGGCTCCTCCTAAAGATGGTTTTCTTTCTGACGTCAGAGCTGGAAGAACCGAGTTCCTCTGAGTCTGAACCTGTTCGGTCAGAGGAAGCCGTCATCAGGCCGCCGTTCCCAGCAGCCTCGCTGTTACTCAGAATCTGCCGCCGCTATTTGGTGCCGCCACCTTCCAGTGAAACTGAGAACGATGTGAAGCTTCGCCCACGGAAACGAAAGCAGATCCAGAAAACTGCTGCAGCCGCTTGATGTCAGAAGCTCACTTTGACTCATGACTTTTATACGTAGGACCTGCAGACCTGCCGGCGTCTGGAGAAGCTCTGCGAGGAAAAAGATCAAACCTCTCCATGTCCTCCAGATCTGCTGAACTGGATCCTTCAGGAGGAGAAGGATTCCTGCAGCTTTCATTCTAGAAAAGGAGCGCAGGAATATCAGAGGATGAAACGAGTCAAAGCTGAGAGGAAAACAAAACCGAAACTTCTGAGGAACCAAGAGATGAAAGTCAGAGAAGAAGAAAGTGAGAGAGATGATTTCAGAAGGTTAGGAGCCTCCATAGCATCGCTGCTAACGGAGTCTAAAGGTAGAGATTCAAACCAAATGTTCCTGGAACCACTGATTAAAGGACCCCAGCGCTTCCCTGGGGCCACAGTCCTGGAACCTGATCAAAGGCCCCATGAGTGGAGGCCCTGTGACAACTTCCCTGGGGCCCCTTCCGCATGGTCCCTGGGGCCCTTTCACGTGGAGGCCCTGGGTACAACTTCCCTGGGGCCCCTTCCGCATGGTCCCTGGGGCCCTTTAAACATGGTTCCTGGGGCCCTTTCCACATGGTTCCTGGGGCCCTGTCAGGGTTCTGCCCTCTCTTTGGGTTAATTCTTAGTTTTTTTGTATTTGTAGTTATTTTCTACAGTGTTTAGTTCTTTAGTTCCTCTCTGTCGCCCCCTGGTGCTTGTTTCCTTTCCCATTGGCTTCCTTCTAGTTGGTTCCACTCACACCTGCTTCCAGTCTGGTGTTTTTGTTTCTCAGTCCAGAGGAAAGCCCGCCCCCCAAAAATGGAAACAAGTGCAATTCTTTAAAATCAGAAAGTGAAAAATAACTTTAAAAAAAAAAAGGAGAAAAAGCAAAACTTCCATCCAGACGTCATCCAGACGTTTCTCCATCAGTCTGGATTTACTCCAGAAATAGTTTGTTGAAAATTGGGCTGTCGGTCTGATTTTGTCTTTAGTTCAATAACAGACATTACAAACCCAGTTTTTAACGACCATTCCGGCTTCTCACCTGAACGTAGACGTCGATTAGATCATGTGGTCTCTTTTTAACCAATCTTTCTGGATCATTATTGTTTGTGTGACTCTTCACCGGTCGGACGATGAAGCTCTGCTAACGGCGCTCTGCTTCTCTTTAGCGGTGGCTGGCCGTGGACTCCATGGTTCGGACCAGAGGACAGACCGCGGCAGCAGGTAGGACTCAGCAGGACGCTTCTGATGGCAGAAAGCAGGACACATTAATGCCGCCATGAGGTCACAGACAGGAAGTTAGCGAAAAGTTTTATTAAGATTATCGTGTTATTTCTGTTCCTCGGTCGTCAGGACCTGAACTCCAGCAGCCCAACAAAGCCTGGTTTTAGTTTAGAAAACATGCAAATTGAAACGGACGAACGGGTCCCCCCCTTTGGAATGGGGGTCGTTTAGCTTCTTTGTTAGCCTGCAATGCCCCATACCTGTCTATGTCTCTGAAAGGGGGGGGTTAGAGGGAATAGTTGGCCTGGATGAATAGGAAAGGTCTTTCTTCCTAACATAGATGCTTCCTTCCTCTCTAACCACCTGTCTTCTTTGTCCTAAATGTGGACATTCTGGTCCTCCAAAGAATGTCCTTTGTCCATCAGGTGTAGATGTACCACAGAGTCTTGTCCAGAGGAGGGCGCTCTCCTGTGTTGGGCCATGCGTCTGTGGAGAGGTTGTTTGGTTTCTCCAATAGATCAGATCATTCCTCGCTGCATTGACCTGCAGACACTCTG